ATATCTCTTTTGCAACTTGTGTTTGTGTCTTTGCCAATGTATTTTTGGAATTGAGATGGCTAGGGCAAAGGATAATTTGTATGTAATTTTACTAGGTGTTGCTCAATTTTGCCACTTGCCAATGCATTTTACATGCTGACCAGCACAGTGTGACAGAAACCCTTACCTAGTGCATGACCAACAACATTGACGCTTTTGCCTGTCTCATAGTTGAGAAACAGTATTACAGCATAAGTTTAATTTGCACTTCTCTATTAATGATTAAGTTGGAAATCTTTTTATAGATTAATAGCTATTTGAAATTTTTCTGTGAACTTTTTAATATTGTGTATTTCAGTTGGGATGGTTTGCAGATGTATTTTTTTGTTTGTTTAGAATCTGTGTGTGTGTGTGTGTGTGTGTGTGTGTGTGTGTGTGTGGTACTAAGGATTGAATTTGGGGCAGTTAAGCCATATCTTTGCCTACACTATCTTCCCTTTTGAGGTTTCAGTAACTCTGTGTCCAGTTCTGCCTCTGTCTCATGAGGAGCTGGAATAACAGGCATGTACCACCACACCTGGCTTTATATTTAGAAAATCTTTATACATAAAGATAGTAAGCTGGGCACTGGTGGTTCACACCTGCAATCCTAGCTGCTCAGGAGGTTGATATCTGAGAATCACGATTCAAAGCCAGCCTGGGCAGGAAACTCTGTGAGACTCTTATCTCCAATAAACCACTAGAAAACTGAAAGTGGCACTATGGCTCAAGCAGTAGAGCACTCCCCTTGTGCTAAAGAGTACAGGGACAGCCCAGAGTTCAAGCCCCTGAACGAAAAACAAAACAAACAAAAAGACAGTAAGTCTTTGTGATATATTATTTTCCCTAATTTATACTGGGTTTTTCTTTACTTGCTTTTTTGTGCCATGCAATTTTTTTGTTAGTCAAATTTATCAATTTTCCCTCACTATGGGTTTTGAGTTATAGTTAGTAAAAGCTTTCCACTCCTAATTTATATGTTTTCCCATCTGGTCTCTACCTTCTAGATTCATCTGTTTCTTGGAAGTTTTTGCATTTTGTAATTTGACCTACCATAATATGTCTTTTTTGGAATGATGCAATGCTTTTCTTTTTTCCTGATAACTTTCCTGGCTTTGAAATCTCTGCCTAAAATTAATAGCTACTTTTTGTGGTTGGTGGTGGTTGTGGGGCTTGAACTTAGGGCCTGGGTGCTGTCCCTACGCCTCTTTGTGTTCAAGGTTTGTGCTCAAGGCTAGTACCCTACTACTTTGTGCCACAGGGCCACTTCTGGTTTTTGAGTGGGTAATTGGAGGTAAGAGTCTCACAGGGACTTTTCTGCCCAGGCTGGCTCTGAACCACAATCCTCAGATCTCAGCCTCCTAAGTAGCTAGGATGACAGGTACTTGTGTTTTCTTTTGATGGTGTCCACATATTTTATTTTTCTCCATCTGTTTACTTGGAATCTATATATCTTCATATTTGAGTGAGTTTCTTGTGGGCAACAGTTAGTTGAATCTTGGTTTTTGATTTAATCCAACAATTCTTAACATTTTAATTGGTGCATTTAAAACCACTGACATCCAAAGTGATTGCTGGTTTCGTTTTTTTTTATTATTTACCATATTTTCATTTTTGCTTTACTTGGTTCCTAGTTTTGTCTTTCACTGATTTGTTCTCTGTGGATTTTATTGAACATTTTATTCCATTTCTTTTTTGTTGTTGGTGGTCATGGGGCTTGAACTCTGGGCCTGGGCACTGTCCCTCAGCTTTTCAGCTCAAGGCAAGCACTCTACCACTTGAGCCACAGCGCCACTTCCAGTTTCCTGGTGGTTTATTGGAGATAAGAGTCTCACGGACTTTCCTGCCCGGGCTGGCATTGAACTGTGATCCTCAGATCTCAGCCTCCTGAGTAGCTAGGATTACAGGCGTGAGCTTGTGGCACCCGACTGTATTTGATTTTTTTTTTGTCGGTTGTGGGGCTTGAACTCTGGGCCTGGGTAGGGTGGCACCTGGTTGCGGGGTCTTCAATGTGGAAGAGAGGAAAGGGCCAGGCAGTCTTCTGGGAGGGCGGACATCGAGTAGGGATTGAGGGTGAAGTGGGTGCTGCTGCATCTGGAAGGCCCCTCACTCCTTACCCAAGGCACCGTCCCCCTAGAAAGGCCCTGTGCTGGTCAATAACGTCTACAACCGCCACGCCCTTTCCGGCATGCCTCCCCAAGGAGACCAGGCCACCGGCCAGCCTGCACGTAAGGTCTGAATACCATGTTGGAGTGTAGAGTGAGAGGGGATTTTTTTCTTTTAATCTTTGATTTTTTCTGAGTTTGTCCTCTGAGGCTCCTGAAGCTGTGCTGTAGTGTCTAAGGTGAATCTGCAGGAAATTCTCACTTGTTACTGCCTTCAACATTGCTTTTCCTCCTGTTACAGTTCCTGATACTGTCGCTGTGCGTGTCATACCTTTTGTACCCTCTCACAGTCTCTGCATGCTCTGCTTTCTTGTTTTCAGCTTCACTCCCTTTGCTTTTCAGTTTGAGATGTTGCAGTAGTTGTGTTCCTCCCTAATTCATGCTGAAACCTCATCCCTCTTCTGATTAGATTAAGAGTTGGACCTCTGGGGAAATGATGAAATCATGACTATTTCTTCCTCATCAGCATGACTAAAGCCCTTACTGAAGAGGTGTCAGAGGGCTGCCTGGACCTTTCCTCTCCTCTACATTGAGGACCCCACAACCAGATGCCATCTTAGAAGCCACCTTACCAGATGATCATGTGCCTTGGCCTTGGTCATATACTTTTCACATCTACAGCTGTAAGACAGGAGTGCCTACTGCTTATAAACCACCTGGTCTGAGGTGTACATAAACTGCCTGGTTTTGGTGTCTTGTTATAGCAGAATGGACTGGGTTGGGCTTTACTGATATAGCCTTAAGTTTGAAGGGTTTGCCCTGAGTAGTGTCTTGACTGCTATTAAAACATTGGAGCAGGAATGCCAGGAAGGGAAAGAAGGCATTATTGAAAGAGGCAATGAGCAGGACAGAGGGGCTCATGAGAGTCACAGCCAGCCCAACATGAGGTACCCTCTGGAAAGTGAGGGGCAGGATAAGAAAGAGGGGCTAAACCCTAAGGCACCATCTGCTTAGGTACCAGGGCAAAAACGAGGCACTACACTCTAGTGATGTCACTTGGTTGTCACTGGGAACTGGGGTACAGTTCTGTCTTTGTTACATCAAAGTCCCTTGCATTTTCAGGGGTTCTCAGACAAGCAGAAGATACTAGACCACTTAAAAAACTGACAACCCTTGAGCTTTTCATGTGGGGGAAATTTATTTTTATCCAAAGTAGTTGAATTTTCTGGTTAACTGGAGATAAGAGTATCACAGACTTGCTTGTCTGAGTTGGTTTTGAAGTGTGATCTTTGGATCACAGCTCCTGAGTATCTAGGATCGTAGGCACAAGGCCCAGCACCCAGGTTCTAGGGGCCGCTTCTGACGTTTTGACTGTGGCTTCTTGTGCCTAGGCTTCCTGACTGGCTCTGGTCCCCTTCCTTCCCCCACAATGAGACACACCATCCTCCCTGGTGGCAGCCTTGGGTTGGGGTGGTGGACTCTTGTGCCTGGACTCTGCTGCTAGTCATAGCCATATTGAATACTCCAGCAACGCAACTTGGTTCCAGAAACTAGGTTACCAGAGCAGACGGGGCTGCCCGAGTCCCGGCTACAAGTCGTTTTTCTTAAGCACTCCTATGCTTGTGACTCTTCATTTCACAAGCCTCGCTGTCCCCTCAGCCCTCACCTCCCACACTGGGCATCTAAAAGCATCTTTGCTTTATAATGCCTTAGGTAAAGAGCTTTGTATCTGACAAAGGCTAGGGTGAAATGGACTGCCTCTCTCAAGCCGAGTCTATACCAGTCCCAGATCCAAAAGAACAGACAGCTAGAGTTGAAATCTTCAATATTGAAGATGGTTCAGAGAAGCAGTGCTTACGGGTAGTTATGGCCATGTCCAACCTTTTCACTGTCTACCTAGTAACAGCCCCTGAGCAGGCGGTTACCCTGGGCTCAGAACATCGCGGTGGCAGAGATGGCCAGCACTCGCAGACATGGCAAAACAGCTCATGAACCATGAACCTGTGCGTCTGACTCAGTGGTGTGAGATAGCAGAGAAAAGAGCCAGAGAATGTGGGGCATGCTTCTTAGAGGAGGGGTTGAGAAGAGTCTCTGGGGAGGCGGCTGGAAGGGAGCCTTGGGAAAGCAAGGGAGAAGTGCTCAGTGCAGGCCTTGCAGGGAGGATGCAGGAGGACAGAGATATCAAGGAGCAAGTGAGGCTGGGGCCCTGCATGAGCAGCAGTGAAGAGTCTTCACTGTGTCCCCTGCAGACTGGCCACAGGGTGTCATCTGAAACGAAGGGCCTGACTTGTTCAGCCCCTAGGCTGTCCCTGCAGGCATACACTGTAGATTCCCTTTCTCAAGAGTGCTTCCAGCCTTGATCAGCTCAGACACGGCATAGCAGAGACAGACTTGGTTAGCAGATGACCGATGGAGGGTCCAGACCAAAAGTCAGGTAGCTATCCCAAACCACATAGCAACAATCCCAGTCAGTGTCCATATGTGCAATGAATGAATGGGCCAATAATATTCTGATAAGAACAAATACTACACATGATCTTAGCCAAAAGGCCGAGAAGTGATTAGGGCCAATAATATTCTATCTCTTTAAAGTGCAGGTTGGCTTTTAGTCCCCCTTGGTATATGCAACTCTGACGTAAGTGAGCTAACATGTCTTTCTCGCTATGATTTCAATTATTGTGTGGGAAAAGTAGGTCCTTTAGAAACATGTTGCAGCTGCAGATGGCACACAAAAACTGTGTTTAGTGAGATCTTGTTGCATGACAACCCACGTGATGGGCCCTGTTGGAAAATGTCTTCCCAACCCTCCATCTCCATGCCTGCCTCCACGGCTCACCTGAGGCGTGCTGTGAGTGTGAGGCAAAGGCGCCCTCTCACCTTGTGCCTGTGGTCCTGGTATGCCTTCTCCCAGGCTCGCTGCAGATCTGCACTGGCAGGGGCTCTGTGCATCTCAGGTTGTAGGCTTCTGTCTGAGAAGAGCAGACTCCTGTGCAGAAGCAAGTCTGTTTGTGTGGCCACATGACCGTTGCCACGGAGCCGGGCAGGAGGAGCCCAAGCCTGCCACTGGAACTTCCAAGCAGTGGGTTGGGATGGAGAGAAAAATGAACTCATAGTCCACTCTAACAGGTGATAGTTCAGTGTTGCTGTTTTGAGGAATCCTACTCGGATCCTAGCCTCAAGGGAAGAAAACATGAAGAACAAGGCTTGAAGAACTTGTCCTCTGTCCACAGGAGCAGCTCTCATCTACTAGCATGGCTAGCCCTCACTTCTTGTTCCCCCTTTACTCTGCCTTTTCTCCCTTCCAGTCCTTTCCTTTTTGAATTTCCGCCTTTCTTTAGGCCTCTTCATCACTTTTCTGCCCTACCCTTTCTTTCTTTCTTCCCGTGTGCCTCCCTCTCCCCACCCCCATCAGTCCTGAGGCTTGAACTCTGGGCCTGGGACCTGTCCCTGAGCTTCTTTTTGCTCAAAGCTATTGCTCTACCACTTGAGCCACAGCCCCACTTCCAGAGTAGTTTATTAGAGATAAGAGTCTCACTGACTTTCTTGCCCCTGCTGGCTTTGAACTATGATCTTCAGATCTCAGCCCCCTGAGTAGCTAGGATGACAGGCATAAGCAACCAGTGCCCAGCTCTGCTCTACCTTTAAACTAGTTATAATAAGTTAATGTTTCAGCTTAAACAATTCTCATTTTAAAAAATTGTGTGGATCAGTTATAGACAGTGTTTTTTTAAATAATTTAAGCCATTTCCCTCTCCATAGCTTTTATTTGGCTGGAATAAGGTTTCCTGTGATAAACTTAATTTGCAGTATACAAAAAAAAATCAGCCTATGAAGTCCTCTGGTTGTTTCTATTTGGTCATGATACAATCAGAGGAATTAGTTAGGATCAAAGTGACAATGTTTTATTTCAGAATTCTATCCCCTTTATAATATTACAATTTCAAAAACTTTGGATTGCAGAATTAATGATGGAGACTCATTGTTCAGCTTTGTGTAAATGAAGAATGGGACATTTTGTGTGGAGTTATATTCCACATAATAGAATAATTCAGCAGCTGTAATTCTGAAAAAGTACACAAGTTTAGATTGACTCAGATTTAAGGTTAGTAAGGTGTGAATGAAACCAAGCTGTGACCATTTCTGAACACACTTAGCCATCAGAAGAACCATCGCTTTTGGATGGTTCTCATGATTACCAAATGTATGCAGAAGACTTCATGGACTGATTTTTTTTTTTTTTGTCAGTCATGGGGCTTGAAGTCTGGGCTTAGGTGCTGGTCCTTGTGCTCTTCAGCTCAAGGCGAGTGCCCTACTGCTTGAGTCATAGCGCCACTTCCAGTTTTCTAGTGGTTTTTATTGGAGATAAGAGTCTCACGGACTTTCCTGCCCGGGCTGGCTTTATAACTGCGATACTCAGATCTCAGCCTCTTGAGTAGCTAGGCTTACAAGCGTGAGCCACCGGTGCCCGGCTTGAACTTATTATTTTTTGATGTATTGCAAATTTAAAAATTGCCTGACATGTTACTAAAAATGAGGTTTTAATTTTTTTACAAGTATTAGCTCTTAGAACATCATGGCTATCCAGTAGAATATAGATGTAATAATCACTACCTAAAAAACACAACCAGTACTCTTAGGACATAAGGTTCAATTAAGGCACCTTAGCCTATAAAATCTATATCTCATGTTCCCAAAATTCTATTAAATAGTTGATTTCTCTTATCCTGTTAGTGTCATTATTCTAGAGCAAGGGCTAGGAATGTAGCTTAGTGTTAGAGTTCTTGCCTAGCATGCATGAGGCCTTGGATTTGAGTCCTCAGTACCACATACACAGAAAAAGCCAGGCGTGGTGCTGTGACTCAAGTGGTAGAATGCTAGCCTTGAGCAAAAAGAGCTCAGGACAGCACCCAGGCCCTGAGTTTAAGCCTGAGGGCTGGCAAAAAAAGCAAAAAAACAAAAAATACAAACAAAAAAATCTACAACAAATCCACTATTCAGGACATACCTAGTGAACACTTGCTAGCAAGTGATAGAAATAACAATGTTGATATTGTGTGATTCCTTTGAGGCGACACTGTATAATTCTAGGTTCTTGTATTTCTCCCAATGTTTCCAACAATACTCAGCATAACACCATCTACAGATTAACAGATGCTTTGTTGAGCTTAGCGTGCTCACTGATATGGACAACACATGAGTTAGGAGCAAGCTGGATGAAACATGTGACATGGCATTTGCAAGCACTGTCCTGGGCATACCGGCCAACACAGTGAACTCAGGGAAGCCACCCTGACCCCAGCCACCTAGATCCCAGTCTGTACTAGCTTTTTAGGGAACAATTGCCTAGTTCATATGGCTGTTTTATGTGTGTGGTGGCAGGACCTGGGAAAGTTAGGCACACCTCCAGAGAACTTAGACAACCATCCTAAGCCATGCAGCCAGCCTTTTAGACACTTGCCAGATGCAAATGAAGTCTGATTCTGGACATGGTCAACAGCTCCTAAAGCTCGTGTCTGTCTTGAAGACAAGGCTAGAAACACTGATGAGGAAACACTGATCTGAACATACCAGAGAATCACTCATATAGGCAGAAAGAGGGAAAGTCTGGAGTTGAATTAATAGTAGCAATGCTGGTTTCCACAAATATACTAAGGTGCCAGGACCCAATTGTAGTTCACATCACATTTTGTGGTTTTTATATTAGGTAGAGAATCTTCTCCATTTTGAGCTAGGTTTGGGTGTTTTATGTTGAAAAATTTCTATGAATAACCTACAGAAAATAAAAGTTTATTTTTTGCTTTACTATCCAGATAATATCTGTGTGTTTGGCCTCAGCCTTAATGTTTTGGCCCAATATTAGCTTTTTCTTTTCCTGGGCTGAGGCATGAACTCTGGGCCTGGGCACTGTCCCTGAGCTTCTTTTTGCTCAAAGCTAGTGCTCTACCACAACTCCACTTCCGGCCTTTTCTGTGATTAATTGGAGATAAGAATCTCATGGGCTTTCCTGCCCAACCTGGCTTTGAACAGTGATCCTTAGATCTCAGCTTACTAAGTAGCTAGGATTACACCAGTGACCTGCACCAATATTAATTTATTGCTTATTATGTGTCCTTAATTATAAAACACAAGTTTTGGCCAGGCATAGTGGCTCATGGCTGTAATGTTATATTTCAGAGGACTGGAATCCAACAGAGGATGTTTGACTCAGAAGAGAGCCAGAATTAATAACAGGAAACCTGAGGCTGTAGCTCTATGGGAGAAAATACGTGTACCTGATAGGAGGCTGTGCAGAAAGCTCTCCTCTGACTCGCAAGGCGGTAAGCCCAACAGAGAAGGTTAGAAGTTGTCTCTTAACCTATGTTAGCATCTTGGGGAAAAACTTCATTTGTTATAGGTAAGAGTAAGTGATATTGTTATTGAAGCAGTGACTAGCCAGGCTCTAAGGAATTAGTTGGCAGTTGGTTTGCAACAGAGAGGAGGCCTCTGTCTGGCCCTTGGCTACTGAGTTCTTCATGTTGCCCCCAAACAGAATTTGAGGATGCACTGAGGTATAGCTCAAGGAAATTTATCACAAAGTGAAGATAGAAAGACAGTGCCCAGCCCAGACACAAGTGCAGACACATCTGAAAGCAGATGTAGTGTATACTGGTGAAAACAAGGTTGGAAATTTGACAGACTCATGTAAGGTAAGTGCTCTCTTTTGGTCTGAAACCTGCTACATTTAGTCACTTGGACTGTTGCACTGTTTTTTAAGCAATTAAGCCAGAGTATTGAATAATATTGTCCTGCTTGCTAAATTTGGGTCATTTATATGTGGGCATCTCTCGAAATAAAGGATTTTGCACATACTCCCCTCAAGACAGCACACACACCAAGCAAACTATGAACGAACAAAGTTTGACACCAACCAAGAAGAGTAAAAATTTAATCATCTACAAGAGAGAAAAAAAATAGTCACTCAGCAGTGACTTTCCCAACGTGGCACTGGCTGAGGGCTTTCCCAGTTTTTCCTTCTTTTTGTCTTCCTTTTTTCTTCAGCTACCCTTGGCAGCTCAGCCTCCAGCAGACAGCAATGCACGTGGAATGAGAAAATACAGCCACAGCAGCCGGCGCTAGTCCACCACTCAGACAAAGGACCTCCAGAGGTTGCTATGGGACTTGGTAAACTTCCAAATGTGTGAACATCAGCACCAGGCTGAGGCTGGTTAGCATCCGCTGTACCGGTCTGTAGGGACTGAGACTCATCACTTCTCAAAGTTTCTTACTTCACTAGTGTGGAACACAGGGTCTCTCTTTCCTTCTCTTTACTATTCTAGTCTTATACCCTCATCCCTCATTATCTTCTCTTTCTTTCTCCTCTTCCCACTATCATCTAGGATTTCCTGTCCGCGCTGATCTCCCTCACAAACTATTATTCCCTTTCCACCTTCCCTTGCCCTAGAACCCTAACCTTCCCAAAGGATAGCTGAGCTCTAACATCACCGTGTTGCACCACAGTGGAACTTAATACCTAAGCTGAACAACAGTCTCTACAAACCCTGAACCCAGATGCATACATCACAGTGAAATATCACAAAATTCATGAACAATCGAGACCACATGCCACTCTCAAAAACTGACAAAAAGCCGGGTGCCGGTGGCTCACGCCTGTAATCCTAGCTACTCAGGAGGCTGAGATCTGAGGATCATGGTTCAAAGCCAGCCCAGGCAAGCAAAGTCTGTGAGACTCTTATCTCCAATAAACCACTAGAAAACAGGAAGTGGCGCTGTGGCTCAAGCGGTAGAGCGCTCGCCTTGAGCTGAAGAGCTGAGGGACAGCGCTCAGGCCCAGAGTTCAAGCTCCACTTCCGACAAAAAAAACCCAAAAAACTGACAAAAACTCAGGGGAAGACTTTAGTGAGAGTGAAGAAGAGGAAAAACAAAATAATCATTAAAGCAATGAAGAAAGAGTTGGCCAACAAAATAAAAGAGCAGGTCCATGAACAACTAGAAGAATAGAGAGAAAATAGACAAAGGACAAATGAAATGATGAAGAAAATACATTCAAGATGATATCAAGAAGAAGACACAAACTATAAGTACTTCAATGAAGGAAACAGGAGATAGAAACCATAAAAGCCTTTTGACTGACACTGCAGCTTATGAGGGTGTATTAGACTTAGAGCAAAGAGAAGTTTCTTATGTGTTTCTAATGAGCTATTTCATTAATTCAGTGTTTGAATTTCTGGCTGCTGTTTCCTGTGCCTCATTTCCTCTATTCTTCTCTGCCTCAACAGAACTTTCCAAGGTGGGTTTTTAAAAAATCACATTATATGGCTAGTTGTAGAAACTATTTAATGTGCACTTAGAACCCAACCATACTATTCACAAATGGTGCACCCTTCTCCTGGTACCTCTTCTCTACCACTGAGCTCAGAAAACCTCAGTGACTCACATGCCACCTCATCTCCTTCACAAAACAAAAATTCTCAAAAGTAGACAAACTCTCATCAGCATCTGGGCATCTGCAATTGACTTGCTTCCCACAGTTTCTAATCATGTGGCCAAGGGATGCCTCGGTGATTTATCACCTCACCTCTCCTGGTACCGGATGCCCCAGGGCCTCTGCAGAGCAGAACAAGAGCTGAGCGAGCACTGGATGGTGAGCATCTCAGCTCCCAAGGTTTCCAGAAATGATGGCTGGAAGGGAGCTGCTGCCCTGCCCCTGTTCTTGTGGTGTGGAAACATGGATGTGAACATTCACTCTACTTTTGCTGGGGAGCTGTGACATGCTGTCACACCAGCAGCTCACAGCCCAGGGTGCAGGGAAAGCAAAGCTCTGATGTGCCTAGTTCTGGGTTGCTGGCAAAGGCTCCGGCCTGACCCAAGGCCCCAACCCCAATTTCTTTTTTTATCTGGCTATAGAATGTGTAAGACTTTCAGATCTGAACAACAGCTTTTGTGCTATTTTAAAGCAGCTATTTTTATTTCTAGTTACTAGTCTTTAAGGCTGTCATCTGCAGGGAGGCCCCTTGCGGGGTATGGAATAGGGTGTCAGGCAGCAGCCAGTGCTTGGATCAAAAGCCAGGACTCGGCTGCAGAAGCCAGGGGGAGGCAGGGTCTGTGGAGGAGGGCCTTGGACAAGCTGGATGCAGCTCAGGACTGGCATGGCTGTGCATGAGTGTCTCAGTGGCTTCTTCAGGGGCCACAATGAGACAAGAATAACTGCGTTTCTGAGCCCGGGGCTGTGTCTGGGAGAACTTCCAGATGCCCAATGGGCTTCTAATCACCCCTGGCAAAGCACAGGCCACAGGCCTTTAGCAGTACTCTTCCTTGTTTCCACTTCAATATGGAACATAAATAAACTGTTCTCTCTATTGTAAAAACAAAGAAGCAGTTCATGAGGACTTTTTTTTTGTTTTTTGTTTTGTTTTGTTTTGCAGCAAATGTTCCTTCAAGAAAATGCAACTAGCCGGGCACTAGTGGCTCCCACCTGTCATCCTAGCTACTCAGGAGGCTGAGATCTGAAGACTGTGGTTCAAAGCCAGCCTGGGCAGGAAAGTCCATGAAACTCTCATTTCCAGTTAACCACCAGAAAACTGGAAGTGGTGCTATAGCTCAAAGTGGTAGAGTGCTAGCCTTGAGCAAAAAGTCTCAGAGACAGCACCTAGGCCCTGAGTTCAAGTTCTACTACCGCCCAAACAATGAAGATGCAACTGAATTACACAGGACACCCTCTCCTCCAACTAACAAGGACAATGAAGCTTGAAAAGGAAGGTTGCTCCTCTGAGAGATAATGAAGGGCTGGAGGCATCTGCAGGGGAGAGCACCAGGGGGGCTGCTGCAAAGGTTCTGTGTCAGGTGGGAGTTCACAGGGATGGGTCTCTGTGTCAGGCAGGAGTTCACAGGGATGGGCCTCTGTGTCAGGTAAGATTTCACAGGGATGGGCCTCTATGTCAGGTGTGAGTTCACAGGCATGGGTCTCTGTGTCAGGTGTGAGTTCACAGGCATGGGTCTTTGTGTCAGGTCTCTGTGTCAGGTAGGAGTTCACGGGCATGGATCTTTGTGTCAGGTAGGAGTTCACAGGCATGGGCCTTTGTGTCAGGTAGGAGTTCACAGGCATGGGCCTTTGTGTCAGGTAGGAGTTCACAGGCAT